ACCTCCCTCAAAGCCTGAGGTGCCCCTTCAGAGCTGCTTCATAGCTCTGCAGCCTGAAGAGGAGAAAAGGTTGCATCAGGTAACACCTCAGAGATGAATAAGGCAGCCAGATCAGCTCCACGTGTAACAACTAGTGCAACCAAGAAAAAGCAACAGGTGGTCATAGTGGGTGACTCTCTTCTGAGAGGTACTGAGGCACCCATTTGCTGACCTGACTCACTATCTAAAGAGATCTGCTGCTTACCTGGGGCTCATGTCAGGAATGTCACAGAGAGACTCCCAAACCTTGTACGTTCCACTGACTACTATCCAGTGCTGCTGTTCCAGATGGGCACCAGTGATACAGCCAGAAGCAATCTGAGGAGTATCAAGAGGGACTTCAGAGCCCTTGGTGTGATGGTGAAGGACTCGAGGCTGCAGGTAACCTGGTCTCCTGGGGGCTGATGTGGTCCATCTCTCAGAGAAGGAGAGAAGGGGGAGAGCATCTTTGGCCACAGGCTTGCTGACTGTAAAGAGAGCTTTAAATTTGAGTTACTGGTGGAGGGGCATTTCAACCCATCCCACTCTGAGCCCAGTGCCAGAAACAGATGCCCTGGGCCTGGGCAAGGATCACAGGCCAGCAGGAGAGCACCTGAAGTGCAAGAAAACACATTCCAGCCATTAAGTCAGCTTCTGTGGGGATCCACCTTAAATGCCCCTGTGTAAATGCCCAGAGCATGGTGAACAAACAAGAGGGGTTCCAGATACGTGCACACCCACAGGGCTGTGACATTATTGGCATCACTGAGACGTGGTGGGATGGCTCCTACGGCTGGGATGTGGGAATAGAGGGATACAAGGAAAGACAGGCAGTGGAGAAGGGGAGGTGGTGTTGTCCTCTATGTCAGTGATCAGCTGGAGTCCATGGAGCTTGGCCTGGCGATGGATGAGGAACTGACCAAGAGCTTATGGGTCAGCATTAAAGGGAATGCAGGGCAAGGTGATATCATAGTGGGGGTCTGCTACAGGATGACTGAGCAGGTGACCCCTTGATGGACAGACAGGAGCACCTTTGAATCCACAAGCTCTGCTCCTTATGGGGAATTTCAACCACCTTGCTCCCTGTTGGATGGACAGCACAGCAGGGTACCAGCAATTCAGAAGGTTCCTGGAATGCACTGACAACAATTTCCTTCTACAAGTGGCAAAGGAACCAGCAAGAAAAAGTACTATGCTGGACCTTGTTCTGTCCAACAAGGAGAGGCTGTTGGGTAATGTGAAGCTTAAGGGCAGCCTTGACTCCAGTGACCACAAAATGGTGGAGTTCAGGATCCTTAGGGCAACGAGGAGGGTACACAAGAAGCTCACTATCCTGGAGTCAGGAGAGCAGACTTGGGCCTATTCGGGGATCTGCTTGCTAAAGTACCGTGGGATGAAGCCCTGGAGGTGAGAGGTGCCCAAGAAAGGAGGTCAGTATTCAAGGACAACCTCCTCCAAAGCCAGGAACAGTGCAGTCCAAAAAAA